TAGCGTTGATTCCGCATGATCATCGCTCCGAAGATGTAGAGATGAAGAAGGTGATCGTGGACTTGCTATACGAGGCTTCCAAGACAATGGCCGGGCTCGAGAGCTGCATACTTTTCGCTGGCACCGATCGCGATTGCTATGGGATCCCTGTGAAGCCTTTCTGTTCTGATCTCGTGGAGGAAGCGCAAGAGCTTCTGAGACGCAAAGGACAGGCACTGGGACTGAATGTGGTTTGATATATTGTGTGATTTCAGCATGGATTGGTCAAATGGTCGTCATGAACTGGTGATGTCTACCCTCCCTCTCCCTCTGAAGCCAACTTTAATTTCATTCTGTCGTGTGTGTAGACAATATATTCTGGTTGGTGACATAATCTTGTTGTATTATTGTATAAACTCATCATTTGGTATGGTACAATGATTGTGCAATAATGTCTTGTATGCGGTAGAAACAGGGGCTGTGGCTCCAGAACAGAAGTGTGGGTAGGGGGATGCTGAACTATTATTATATAAACTCATCATTTCTAGATACAGCTGAACGAAAACACCCTTCGCCTCTAAACGAAATGAAGACAATTTAGAGATGGCTGAAAACACCGATCAGCTTTAGAAAGGTGGCTGTGGCTGGTGTTTTTTCAACCACCTTTAAAAATTCTAGCGAGAGGTCTAGTGCTTCACAAGAAAAAAGGAAAATCCTAGAAATTGTCGCAAGAAATCAGAAAGATGTTACCATCAATTTGTTATATTCTTATCACAACTGATAATAATAGTCATTAGATTATTTTGTTTTCTAAATTATTACCCATCTTTACAATTTTGAAAAGCTACATAAAGGAATCCGTGAATCTATATCTAAATTATCCCGCCTATGACATTATGAAATATAATCTAAAATAACCCTGAATTTGCATCTAACTACCTGCACTTAAATCTACACCTAAATTTAAATCTAAATTACCAATTATGCTATTATTAAAAAATATTTCCTTTTCCTTTGTGTATTATGAACGTTTGCTCTCTCATCTTGGAATGAATAATTACTCTGTTTATGTTTTTCAAATGCCTAATATACAGTTTGACATTCCTCTATGTCTGAATTATTTGGCTCATATATATGAATTCATCTTGAATATGAAACTTTGTGGGACACAAGTAATGTAAGAAGTCTAAGCTATTGTGAGATATGATATAGCATGATATGAGCTACTATAATCTTGTTCCAAGTGAGGCATGAATTTTCGAAGTTATTTGTTTTGAGAACGAACAAAAATGTAAATTTCCTCAATGGTGGGAAAATTCCTACAAAATCCACACGTGATCTTATATTATGAAAAGCTTTCTAGATATGCTATTGTACTTGTATTGAGTTTTATCAAGTCTTCATAGTGGCGGACCTAGCATTTCTTCAAGACTAGGGCCTATGATGACGAAAACTTTATCAGCCATGGTGCAGGCAGCATAAATTGCATCAATTTGACTTGTATGTAAGTTCACTCACTAATAGTTAGCTTAAAATGGCGAGAACTCTTGAAAGAACTGCTCTGATTTGCAGTATATACTTGGATCTTGCATTGAACCCACAGCTGCAAGCTTGCAGCTGCATAACTTCACCATGGCAATGGTGCAAAACTCTTGGTGATGCTGTGTTGAAATCTCCTAACTACTGAATGCTACTAATCATTCATCGGGTTCTTCACCGTTCAGTGTCACTACTCACACAGCAAAGTCATTAATTTATTAAGGAGCTTTTAATTTGGTAAAGTAGTGACAAATTGTCAAATTCTATATAAACAAAAGAAAGTTTAGGAGTTTCTTAGTTAGTTGCAAAAATGTGTCCAATAAAAAATGTCAGTAGATCTGTCTCTGGTGGTCTTTACCGAGAACTAGGCAAGACATTACCCACAAGAGAGAGAGAGAGAGAGAGAGAGAGAGAGAGAGAGAGAGACTAGGCAAGACAGTGCCGCAAGAGTTGAGCAGAAGAGAAGCAGAATAGTAGAGATTTACCTGTCGTAGCTGCGTTGTGGACCTGCGGGCCGCACAAATTGGCCTGGGGGAGCCGCCGTCTCGGGGCCGGCAGCATGTGCAGTTGTGCACGCCCAGGCCATCGGAAGGCCGGTGGCTGATGGTGCTGAAGTCGGTGGAGGCTGGTCGCCGACTCGCCGGTGGGCGCTGCTGCGGTGGCGAGGCGGGCCATGCGTAGAGCACTTGGGCATGTTTGGTTGGAAGCCTGAATGACTTGCCCGGAGAAAAGTGTCGCCTGAGAGTTGAATCTACCTAGCAGGCAAGTTGAGAGTTATTCGTTTGGTTAGATGCTAGCCTGAGAAAGCTAATGAATAGAGATCATGTGTTTTCTTCTCTGCTGGAGAGGTAATTAATTCATTTTCTTAATTAATAATACCTCAAATATACATAAATAAACATACGGTGACAAAATAAAAACAGATAAGTGAGTTTTTTTAAATTTATAATATGCTTAAATTAATGTGTTTTTTATTTATCTTTGTATAGTTAACATGTATTTTTATAATCTGATTAACCAAAATATATAATTTAGTAAATTGTTGTCACGTGTTTAATATTAGATAATCACGTTTAATAAGATTAAATATAAATTATGAATATATAATACTTGATAAATTATGTCTTTTAGTATAATATATTAATGTATAATGTGATATGATTTTTAATACTTTTGATTAAATAAATGTCTTTTAGTATAATATATAATGTGAGGATAAATAAAAAATAAGTAATCAATATAAGAAATCTTAATCTGGATTTGAAAAAATAATGGTTATGAACAGTAAAATATCCTTTCCATGCCTATGTGATAATAACGTGGATGTAATTTTTTTAGCAAACCTGTGTATCTTTAATGCTCAAGCGACCTCACGATCATCCAGGCGCTCGTTTTTGCTCGCCTGGGCCTGGCGTTGTTGCCTGGTACAAGCATGTGTCCAGGTTCGCAACCAAATGAGTACTAGGCAACATCCAGGCGACCTGCAGCTCAGGCAAAGTAGAGCCAGGGTGTTAACCAAACACGCCCTTGCTGCCCTGGTCGTCCGGCAGCCCGTCCTCCAATGGCGGCGCTTCAGGCGCGGTCAGGGACTCTGGAGGAAATGGAAGTCATACTCCCTCCGTCCCTAAATGCACGTCGTTTTCGTTTTCCGAGAAATAACTTTAACTAAATATATATTAAAAATATTAATATTTATGATACATAATTAGTATCATTGGATAGATATTTGAATCTAACTTTTTAATAAATTTATTTGGAGATAGAAATATTACACGTATTTTCTATAAATCTAAGTCAAAGTTATCGGCAGCGTAAATCATGGCGACAAACATTTAGGGGCAAATGGAGTATGTCCAAGTCATTTTCGTTATGGGCCTTCACTCATAGGCCTTAAAACTATGGAAAACTATATATGGGGGTAAAGGTGCTACTGGGCCAGCGACTAGGGCCTAGGCCCAGATCCGCCCTGGACAACCAAGCTAGTGACATGACGAGTGCTTGATGTGCCTCTAACCTATGAAGTTATGGTACATGAGTGTTTGATGTGGTGAAGACTCTTCACTGAAGAGCATCCAAATCAGGTTCGCGAAGAAGTCTAAAGAGGGGATGAAGAGGAAGAGGACCAAGCTAGAGTCAGGCGTGCCTTTCAAGATGTCAATTTTATTTAGGTGCCTGCCATACTGGAAGGACCTGGAGGTCTCCCATAGCCCCATGCCACCAATAGTATGCGCTTGGAGAGAATAATGTTTTCTCCTGCACATTTGAGTGTTGTAAATCCGTACATCCCAATCTGGTATGTTTGTAGGATGTAGCACTTGTGGTGTGACTATCTTGAAGAAGAATTGGTATGTGTTTCTGATAAAAGATGCCAGGAACACCAATTCTTGGAGTCTTTATTACTTGGTTGCCATTTACTGATAAATTCTGAATTCTAGTAACAATCGGTTGGCATATTATGTATTATGAGTATCCATTCAAATCTTTCCTTAAAATCAAAAGTAAAATAACTGAATCCATTATGCAATCTCCCAAATAAGCAAAACATTGGCATTATAAAGATCAAATTTATGCTTAGATCGTCACGGTCTATAGGTCCATGCACCAATAAAATAGCCTATTATACATAATATTGCCCGTTGTCTGTTATACGGTCTATGTCAGAGATGGCATGTTCTTGAAAACGGCGGATATCTAAACTATAGACCTTTATTACATGCTCCAAGAACTCGCCGCAGGAGAGAACTTGCCGCAGGAGAGAGAAGACCTGACTGGAGCAATTTGAACGTCGAAGCCAAACTGCCAAAGAAGCCAAGCCAAATTCCTGGTGCAATTTGCTCATCTGTACTGATGCAAAACTATGCTTCATTTCTTTCCAACCGCATCCATTCTGTTATTGCAGATCAAAACCGGTTGCTCAGCAAAGAATTTCTTTGAGGCAGAACCCACACACACTCCATTATGTGTCAAGCACATTACAAATTAGTAGCCTGTTCGTTTGGCTAGGCTGATTCGTTGCTGGTTCGTGAAGAAGTACTGCTGGCTGGTTTGTGTGAGAGAAAAATACTATTCCGGCTGGAAATTTACGATCGTTTGCAATCGTGTAAGCCCAGCCAAACAGGCTGTAGGATGGTTACTCAGGTCACGAAGATGTAAATCCTGGAAAAAAGAATATGCATCCACCGCTATGCTCACATCAGACTATCTGAGATCACTTCACCCTTGCATCTGAGCCCACTGCTACCAAAATAAATAAATAAATGTACTAAGCATGGCTGACATTCCAGGTGAGTGAACGCACTGCACTATTCACAACCGAAAAATTATAATGAGAACCATTATTTGCACTGCACTATTCACGAAGCCGATTCATCAACAAAGAATTTCTCAACCTTGAACGCTGTCATAAACAAAAACACTCGAATTATACTGTCTATATGGATCTCATCTGTTAACATACACAGCTCTAGCAGGATCAGGTAGTCCTAATCTAAATCCAACTCCTTTCTGCTCTTTACAGTGGCATTCTGCTTCGACTCTGGGTCTAGAATGTCCAAGTCCCATGCCGTGGCAAGGTAACCATAGAGGACCCATGTCCGCTCTCCCTTGCCGTCCACCTTGACCAGCATGGGGTTATTATTGCCCCCATCACTGGTGGGGACGATGCTCCGGATGCGAGCCCAAGCCGCTCGCCCATGGCCTTGGCGCTCAAACAACTCAACGAGCCGTGACGCATTGTTCAGACCATCAAGGCTGGCAGGAAACTTAGCTTGCATGGACCTCTGCCCATCCTTCCCAGGGAGTGGCTGCACATCGACACCGGCAAAGCCCATTTCTGGAATACAGCAGTTGGTGAACATGTCAGTTTCTGATTGTTGTCTATGAGAATGCAAAATAGTAGATTCACAGATGCACAGGGTAGGCATGAATTATTGCCCACGCAAATTCCTAGCACTTTAGATACCTCGGCATCCTATGGACTATTAAAACATCACAGGCACATATGGCGTGTTTGGATGCAGCCCTGGGCTGGGAGCCCCCACCAGGCATGCGCATCTGACCCTAGGCACTCGAAATCGAATGGCTAACGCCTGGGAGCAATGCCTGGCAGAGGCAACTTTCCCACACTGCCATCCAAATAGGCCCATATAGTGGGGAAACATCACTTATCACAAGCGCAGCTGAACAGTTAACACATAGTTAACTATAATATGGAAGAAGAAGAAAAGATTCGCTAGTTTATCAAGTTCCTGCACTAGGTGTAATGATGCAACAAGGCCTTCTAGTCCCAAGCAAGTTGGGTCCTAAGGCTAGAAATGAAACCCAACAAGAACCACCCCAAAAAAGCAGATAAATAAATAAAGTGAAAAATCCATTGGTAATAATAATAGTAAAAGGAATTCGTGTGTACATTTTAGCAGATAGCCTCCAAGGCACCAGCCAGATCATCCTCTGCTACACAAAATAGGAAGCTAGGGGACACTGGCTACATTTATATTATAGATAGAATTCTTATGGCAGGTCCAACAAACTATGTAAATTGATAAGTAACAAACCGAAATACTGAGGAATTCAACTGTCAGCCAATACAGTTTTCAACATTTCTTTTCATTTCTATCTAATGCTTCTGAAAGACAGGCATCTTTAAAGAAACCAAATAACAAGTTTTGGTCAAACCAAATGATTTTCCCCCAACTTATCCGTCCAAAAGAACAAAGAGAAGGCAAAACATCAAAAGTTCTGATGATTAATAGAGTAATCATTCAGAAGTTCAGAACTAAGATCACAGTGACATAGCAAGCATTGAAGAAGTACCTCTCAGCTTGCTCTCCATATCTTTATCACTCATGCCATCCTTTTGTCCATCGTGCTTTGACTTGTATGTGTTCTCAATTACAACTGTTGGTGGCCATAAGATAAGGTCTCCTTGATTGGCTTCAGCATCGATAGTTGATAATGCTTGGTAAGCGGTTTTGTGAATAGGGGCTACGGAGTACTTCCAACCCATAAGAACACATAAAGCTTTGTGAAACCCTAGGTGATCAGCACGATGCTCCTGATTCTTTGCATAGTATGCATGATTGAGGAGCGCATGCAAATCTACAGAATCCCTGTAATCAAACCATGCATACAATCGGCTTCAAATGAAAATTATGCATAAAACATTGTCTTCAGACAATAATCCATGCCACTCTCAGAAAAACCATGGTTCTAAAACTCATTGTGTGAACTAAATGGTTCATAAAAGAAATCAGGAAAGTACAATTAGTAGCGAAACATTTTTGAAACATAGGAACAAAACAAAGGATCAATACACATCCATAATAGCTGTTCAAAACAAAAAAATGGGATTCAACAAACTACCCAGGTAGCAAAATAAGTTTGCTTTGCAGCACAACATAGTTCCAGAAAGTAATGACCAGGCAAGAAAGCAAAAACCAAGCATGAATGCATTCATGAAAAGAACACCACAAATGTGCAACATGCAAGTTTGCATATTAAGTCCATAAAGGCCAAGATGCGTTGTATGGTTATCTCTTCACAATGACATATAAAGTGGTTGAAACCGGTGAAAATCTTGTGGAAATTCTCCAATCTAAACATACCTCACATCAAAGTATGTACTGTGTTTCTCTTCTTTTGTTGGATTATTTGCTCCAAAACTGAAACTGATTTCTATTCGCAATGCCAAAAATAATTAAAAACAATGATTACAGCTTTGCAGGCACATGCCGTTCCACAATAAAAAAAATGGGGTAGTATGATACAGTTCAAGTTTTCAAGAGTATGGTCCTGGGATAAGTGATTCACACTGAATTAAAACAAAAACTCTGCTAGTTTGGAGTTAAGTGGGATTCTTCGTATGTTTTTTGTTGAAGGAAAGTGCATTTTAATTCTCATTAGTACCATAGCTTAACCACCTGACTTAGTTTAGGGTCCACTTAACCCCCTAAAGCATTAAATTTTGTAGTACTATGAAAAAAACTCCTTTGATAACGGACAATGGCCAGTCAGTTGTGTTCATCAGCACATGGAGCAATTGACTGGAATACGCAGTAGGGCAGCAGATTTCATACTTCTAACAAATATATGACAATTACCAACATTATGACACAGAAATGAGTTGGGTACTTGCCTACTTTGATAATCCCGTAGTTACCAAGTTCCTAGGTCAATTGGGTCATGGAACAGGGATTAAGAAACATGGTGCGCTCTTTGAGAAAGATATCTCCACTACTGTCTGCTGCTTTCCAGAACAAGAACAATGTTTCCAGAATAAGGTACGTGGCACTGTGGCAGCGTATCACATTCCCAGCGATGGATAATCCACAATATCACTAGTATGTGTCAGAAATAATCCTGTGTGTCAAGGTTCAAGTAGTGCATATGTTCATTGCTATCAATGCTAGCTAGGTTTTAGTTTGTAAACGAGATTACTGGGAAGATCATATGAGGCATTGCCTGCATTAATTAGGGGGTATCATGGGCATGTGTACAACCCTGTATGAGAAAACAATGAGGACTGGTGTGGCCGCATCCACATCAACCAAAAACTACTTGTGTTATTTTGGTACTTGTGTGTATCCACCAAAGAGAAAAGCTAGTATGTGTTTGTGATAAACACTCAAGAAAGATGGAGCAATTTCCAACAGTATGACCACAGGGAATTATTTTATCACAGAATGAAAGGTTAACGATCCAAATAAAACTTAGTGCATGAAATGCAAAACTAGCCACTTTTAAGCCTTAGGCTGCACAAATGGGCAAATGGCAAATAACAGGAGGTAGAACTGATCCTGGTAAGAACTGCCGAGTCTGTGTTGAAGCAAGCTCAAATGCTATTTAACTGTTTGAAGGTTTGATCATCCCAACATCCTTATATTTGTTGTGGCAGACTCAAATGAGGTGTATGACTCGTGGAAGTAACTCATCCTATATGAGATAGTCCTTCATTGGATCCTTCATTGGATCAGCCCATTATTTTGAGTAGAGATTATTCCTATACTTCTACTAGAATGTGCCTAATGATTCAGTCCATGTCATTCCTCAAACTAAACAACAGGCCTAGGTTCATAATCAATGGATTCTCACTATCTCATTCCTCAAATCAACACTATGAAATAAATATCTTGAAACGTCAGACTAATAGTAATACTTCCAACAACCATTGACTTAACACAAGGAAATGTTGAAAAACCCAGGTATTCCAGAGCTTGGGGCTTTCTCAATTTGAAAGTCTAGTATGCTATAAAGCTGGTATATTAATTTCATATTTAGAAGTCAACCAACATGACATTACAAGTTCACAATTAGAGAGAAGAATCAGACTAAAAAAGTAACCAGAAAATGTGTTCCAAGGTATTTTAGATAGAGATCAGATCCAAACCTAAGGATCCCAAGAAAAATGCCAGACTTAACTGCTTATCCAACGTATAGTCATTTGTCCCAAGCAAGTTGGGGCGGGCTAGAGCTGACAAAACAAGAGCCAAAAAGAAGCCAGGTGAAGGAGAAGAGTTGTTGTAGGCCTGGTAAGCCAACATAAAACCCAGTCACTTGTGAAATCAAGAATAAACAAGGGTAGGTGCTATCTGACAAGACTCTAGGAGCGTTGCTATTGTATATAGAGTATTGAGCAATGTCGCTCAGTTACTGAATAAACACATGAATAGTTCCATTGTGTTGAACATCATCTGATACAAAACCAATTCCCATTTGGGAAAGAAAAGGAAAACAAAGAAAACAGGTCGAGGAAGGTCAGTTAACAAAATCATGAAGAGAGCAGAGGCAGACAAAGGGTACATCCATATTTCAAAAAAAAATGGTATGACCTTGAACTGTGTGGAGAAGCATGGACTGCATAAACTATTTAGTGAGAGTTTAACCCTGTAGTAGACCTATCAGCAAAGGCTAGCCAAGGTCTGCTTGTTTTAAATTGAATTTTAATTGACTCTCTACCTATGTTTCTTCCATCTATTGGTCCCTTGTTTTAAATTCATTTTTAATTGACTCTCTACCTAAGTATCTTCCATTTATTATTTTATTGTACAAATAGAACATGAGGGCGCCAACTGAGATGATTTCATTTATAACACTAATCATTAATACAAACTTTTTTAAAAATAAATAAGCCTACAACTAGGTATTCCATGGCTAGCACTCCTTGGACAAGGAATGCTACATAGCCTCTACTCATAGCCATAGGCCTACACAAGTACACAGCATAGGATATACAGACATGCATGGTTGGCGACTATGCGTCCGGGCGAGTGCTGGGTCCACCTGGACGCCTAGGTGACAAGGCCCCACTATTTCCCGAGGCGAGATGGGTACGCCTAGGTGGCGCCTTTGAAACAGGGCAGACATGTCACATAAAACTGGAAGGTTTTCGTTTTTCAACTAAATAGCCAAAGAGCATTCTTCAGGTTCTTCACAGGGGGGCAACAAAATTATGTTTATCAAACATTGTTATACGCTGTACCATGCTAGGCATGTACATCAAGTTTGGACATTTTAATTTTCTTGATTGTACACTCAATAAGCACATCCAAACATAAGACCAAACCAACAGGGCTTTCAGATTTTTCAGCATACCTTTGACATACAGGGCATTTCAGCTGGGAAAGCTTCCCATTGGCCCGGTAATTCTTCTTATCTGCTTCATTCTCATTTATCAGCTTCACCATCTTAAGAAAGGCGGTCTTCAGCACCTTCGGGTCCACCCCCGTCTCCTCCACCTTCACCTGCTTCGCAGCACGTGTCTCAGACTTCTGCTGCTGGTTGCGTCCGGAGGACTCCCCGGGCACACCACCATTGGCCTGATCCTCCCACTTCCGCTTCGAGACAGGCACCGGAAGCAGCCCAGCAGCAGGCAGAAGTGCGGTCATGGGTGGAAGAGGAGCCCACCGCTCGATGGGCGGGCGCAGCAGGGGCAGCGGAGGCGGGGGCGGGGGCGGGGGCGGGGGCGCCAAGAGGTGCGCGGGTATCGGCGGCGGCGGCTGGCGGAGCTGCGGCGGCGGTTCGTGCGGGAGAGCGAAGTAGGTGCGCACGGTGCCGTCGGAGAGCGCGACGGTGCGGCGGTCGAGGTCCTCCAGCCCGTACCGCGGCGGCGGCGGGATGGCGGACACCACCGCCTCCACCGCGGCCACGGTGAGCAGAGGCCGCGACGGGAGCGGGGGCGGCAGCAGAGGCGACGCGCCGGGCGGAGCGTGCTGCTGCGGGTGAGGGTGCGGGTGCTGCGCGGGGATGAGAGGCGAGCGGCTGGCCTCCCCGTTGACGCTCGGGGTAGGGTCTGTTGGCGCGGGCGCCGCCGCGGCGGCGGCGGCGGCGTTGCCCGGGTTGGTGCGCTTGTTGGGGTTGGGGTTGGGGTCGGCGGCGGACGACGAGGACGACGACGCCCTGGAGGCAGCGGCCTTTGGGTTCTGCGCCGCCACGGTGGGCGCCGCGGGCGGAGGCATCGGCGTGGGCTTGGGCTTTGGATTGGCGGCGGCCATCATGCCGGAGGATTTTCTAGGGTTTCGTCGGGGATTGGAAGTCGATTTGGGGGAAGGAAAAGGGCACTGGCTACATGCGATGTGAGATAGGTGAAGATTGACTTTGATGAGTGGGACCAGGTGTCATAGACACGTGAAGGGAGCAACCGGACTCGGAGCAAGGGTGACAGCAGAAACGGCGTCGCCTGGCAGTTGACACTAGTCGCCTTGGTGAGATCATTTTTTATTTTTAATAGCGAGCCAAACTAGTAATTTAGCTATGTAGCAACAACCTGTTCAACCCTAAACCCCAAGGCACGACCCACGTTAAAACTTTGTTGATGCTACCCATGAAAAATAAGGGCACGTTTGGTTGGTTTGCGCGGCCAGCTCGCCTCGCTCGGCTTTGCCAGCTGCGGAGAGCAGTTTTGGCTTGCTTGTGCTGGTGATGGAATTCTGGAAAGCGCAAGAACCGAGGCTGGAAGCAAACCAACCAAACACTACTAGCCTGTTCGTTTCGTCGTAAACGATCGTGGATTATTTACTGCTAGCTGGTTTGGTGTGAGAGAAAAATACTGTTCTAACTTATAATCCACGATCGTATACCCAGCCAAGCAAAGCAAGGCAGAGCGAGACATCCAAACGTGCCCTAAATCACCTAGAACCTTGCTTACGCCTAAGTCTCGATGATGCTCAGGAGTTAGGACTAGAGGACTAGAGGCAACCAAAACCGGTATGAGCTGCTGCAATTAATTGAAAGAAATAAAGAGAAGATACAAATCGGGCTATAAGTAGAACGGTAGAAGACAACTATTTCACAATGTCCAATTACTTTTTTCTTGAAAGGAAAGCTATTGCTCGAGACTGCATTTGCTCAAATTACTAGTGTCCACTGACAGTCACTTACATCTTTGATTGATGGTACAAAGGTACATAGTTCACTCTATTGATACCGATTTTTGGATGTGCTGTGCTCCTTATATGTAACTAACTACCAAAAGATCACATGACCACCAAGATTCTTAGTGCCATCCTTCGATGAATTGAAGAGAAGAATAATAAGATTCACGATAAGGACAACAACAGTGAATTTATAGAATAAGTGGTCTAAATAGGTTGGCCATGTGTCATTGCCTTTAATTTGTTGAAAATTTGCAGTTGTTATGCTACCGTGTATGAACCCTAGATGGACTATAGAGGTTAGACTCATAAAAAATTGAAAATCTATGTTTGTCTCCAATATGAAAGCACGGTGGGGAGGTTTGGAGAAAGTAGAGAGAGAGAGTACGGCGTCCATGTTTGGAGCATATGATTTTTTTTAATATTCTAAGTTTTGTTCTGTAAAATTGAACTTACTGCTATACAATTCCCGTAGAATTCTTTTGAGATTGTTGCATTTCAAATGGGTCCTAATATTTTTGGCAATCCCATATGCATTTGGGTAGCTCATAGGTGTGGTCATGTATCCAATCACACAATTTTAAGTCCTTTCAAACTTGAATTTAGATGCAGAATTTTCTCTTGACGAAGGCTTGTATTTATTGGTTGCTACCGATTGTATATCTCTTCAATCAAAGCTACAAGCTCGACTGGACCCGTGACTTCATTTCGCTTATGTTCGTTGCTTGGTCAGTGGTCAAATTAAAATTGAAGTCAAATTGCAAAGGACTCAGTTAAACAGTAAGAACAAGTAGTAACCTTAGACAATAGAAATAGGTAGTTTTGCGTACTTCATCGACGTGAAACTGGCACTAGAGCCAATATTGCATCTCAATTGGTTTACATGTGGACTACTTACCTAAGATGATCAAGGGTTCACTTTGATTGACCCTTTTTTTTCTCCCATAGTCTTTTCTTAATAACAGAAGAACGCTCGGCTTCACCTATAGGGAGAAGATTCATACGAACTTACTATAATTCATCACACCACAACGACCGGACCAAGTTTATAACGCCCTATTCGCTTAAACTTATCAGTCCGGCTTATCAGTCATGGTACAATGTTTTCTCTCATAACAAAACAACATCAGCCGGCTTATCAGTCCTAGAAACCATCAACTGAACAGCTCGTAATTGTCTCGAAACTCAATTGTTAAAGAAGCCCACTCGAAAGGACACAAAGAAACCTATTGCATCCAACACCCGCTATTAGCTATTCCAATCATTCCGTATTATAGGTAACTTTAAATATCACTATCTTTGACCAAGTTAAAAAATGCTAATATCTATGTCATACAAATTAGCTTCGTTAAATCCACCATGAATTGTATTATGATATTATATTTAATTGGTATTTTTGTAGATGGTAATGTAGGTTTCTAAAAAAAATCATCAAAATTAATGAAATTTGACTTAGAACAAGCTCTTTGTAGTTTGCAAATAATTAATGTTTTGGACAAGGTTTGAGTTAATTTCTTAAAATAACTTTTCAAAAAGATTTGGTTTAGAAATCTTGAGACCGTATGCATAGATATTTCTTGAAAACAAAACGCTTCATTTATATTCTAACAGAAATAATAATAAAAAACTAGACCGGTGGGGGAAGAACCGCCCCCATGGCTTTCGAGTAGAAAGAGGGATCAATGATCCCGGCCCAAAAAACCCCCCGAACCTGGCTCCTGCCCGAGGAGCGAACTGAGTGCCAGCAGATCAATCACATGCCGCGCACGAGTACACCGTAACCTGGACGCAACCGCACCAGCGAGCCCAGCGAGGGGGATTTTTTTTGTGGGTACCGGAAATTCTACAACCGCCGGGGCTCGAACTCCGATCGGCAGAGCGCCTGGCCAGTTGAGCCTAAGCTCACTCCCTAACAGAAATAATGATCGAAAGCTATGTTTTGGAGACCATGTCCTTGTGTAAAATATCAATTATTTTGCAAGCTAAGTTTTGGAGACCATGTCACTTGCCCTTGTATTTTAAGACAGTATGCACTATGCAGAATGTTTTTTTTTTTTTGAAAGGACTATGCAGAATGCTAAAGAGGCTTTGGGTTGATACGCGATCGTGGAGGACTAGTAGTAGTGACAACAACGACAAGAACAACTCTGTCTGGGCGTCCACATCACCGTCCACTGATCCTCTCCCTGCGGAAACCACCGATCCAACGGCCATCCCTCACTCCACCATCCCGGGCCCACCTGTCATCCTCCGAACCCACCACACCAAAAACCCCGCACCCGCCGCGCTAAAACCCTAATAAACCCTGTCCCTCAGTCCCATCCCCTCCTTCCGCCGCCTCCCTCCCTTCCCGCGCCGCCAAGACCCTCTTGGCCTCTTCCGCATCCCTCTCACACCCCAGCTCTCCCCTCGAGCCAAGAGCACCGCACGCGCCATGCGGCCACCGAGAGGGCGCGGCGGCGGGGGCCGGTTCGGCGGTGGTGGAGGCCGGGGCGGCGGCGGCGGCCGGTTCGGCGGTGGAGGCCGCGGTGGCGGCGGGGGGCGGTTCGGCGGCGGGTTCCGCGACGAGGGCCCACCCGCGGAGGTCGTCGGTCGGTGCCACCTCTACTCCCGTGAGAGTACTCAGTCCTTTGCTGGGGTGATATTTTCTGACCGGATTTCTGTCTTGCGGGCGCAGAGGTGTCGACGTTCCTGCACGCCTGCGAGGGGGAGGCGGTGACGAAGCTCACCAACGAGAAGGTGCCCTACTTCAACGCGCCCATCTATCTGCAGAACAAGACCCAGATCGGCAAGGTCGAGGAGATCTTCGGCCCCATCAACGAATCCGTGAGCACCTCCGCCGCCACCCTGGTCTCCCTAATCTCTCTGAACATCTCAAGAATAAAAAAAACAAATAAATACCTTTTTTTATGTTCTTATGGGAACTTGAGTTGAGGTTGTGGTGAATTTCTAGTGTGGCAAGACCAGTAGTATTGGCATAGCTTGTTGAAGGTGTGTTGCTTAGAGAGAGCACTGATTGTTTAGTTCAGTGATGAGGATGAGCACTTGGTGCGTGATTTTACAGATTTTAGTCTTGTAGTGGAGGTCTTTTTGGTACAGCATTGCACCAAGATTTTGGGATATGTTGTCATATTTGAACCGTAGTAATAAAATGCCACGGAACATGTTGTTCTTTTTTAAATTATCTCTCGTCCCTGCTCTCGTTTCCTGGGCTACTTGTTCTGATGTGTCATTTAGTAAGGCATTAAGGGTACTTTGAAATTACTCCTTTAGCTATGCTACTACTGTAATCGTGAATATGATTTTTTTTGTATGTGTAGTATTTCTCTGTGAAGATGATGGATGGGATCATTGCAACATCATACAAGGAAGGCGACAAGTTCTATATCGACCCAATGAAATTGCTCCCTCTCTCGCGCTTCCTGACGCAACCAAAGTATGAATGAGCCGTTGTTGTTTCTCCTGCATTGTTTGCTTGCTGCTCTGTGAAAATGGAACCAAGATGCCTCATTCATTTGCTAACTTTTTTTTGTACTTGATAGTAACTTGATAAGTTCACACCTACTACTTAAAACAATTTGTGTTTGAACTTATTTAAGTTGCGTGAAATCGTGAAAAAATGTCAAACCTCTCTGTTAAGATACTAATTGTTGCCCTCTTACCTTGCTGTTAAGAAATCATTAAAATTTATGACATCATCATTAAGTCAATAATGCCACTATTTTAATATGCATTTCTAGCTTGCATTGGAATGCTGCTTCTAAGTCACCAACTGGTGTTAGAGTCGAGCTGATTTTCAGTCATTTGTGTCAGGATCATAAATTTGAGGCAAGTTCTACTGAAATAGGTAGTGAACCTAGGGGTGTGTTTGGGAGGGGCACTGTTAGCCTCACCTTGTTTGTACCTCATTTCTCTCTTAATGATTAATAAAATGCCACACAACTCACCTGCGTCATTTGAGAAAAAAAAATATAGGAAGTAAATAAGAGGCTCATAGGTTTCTAACATCTCAGTAGTTATATTATAATCAAGCATCATGAGTTATTTAATCCTTTCTCCTTTTTGCTTGCTTCAAACAGGGGACAATCTCAAGGAGCACCTAGAGGTGGCGGCCGTGGTGGAAGGGGTGGTGGCCGAGGCCGTGGGGGTGGTTCTTTCCGTGGCGGCAGAGGACCACCAAGGGGTGGTGGCAGAGGTCGGGGTGGAGGTCGTGGTGGTTTTAGAGGGCGAGGCAGGTTCTAGGTGTATTTTGAGTTTGATGTTTTCTTGAAGCATCATAGCTGCCCAATTGGAAACTTCCATGTTCTTGTAACCTGATATGTTTAAGGTAGCAGAGCACTTTATTTGTGGAACTTGGATTCTCAATTGAAACAAAGTATTTGTACCTGTTCCGTTCCTAAAGGCCTATTATATGCTTCCTTCTGAATTCAACTTGCGTATTATATGCTTCCTTGGTAATTCAACTTGTGCTGATCATGGGCTCCATGTTGATTCTTAGGCCCCTGGGCTCCTTGTTGATTCTTAAGCTGTGCTGGAGTTCTTAGGCTTAGGCTGCTGGGGAGTACATTTGTCCATGCTTGTGTTGGTTCTGAGTTGGCTGTCGGTTTTAAATTCACCATTGATTGAGAGGAGCCCTTGTCGAAATTCCCTAATTGTGCTCCAAACTGGAGGAAAATAGTGGGTTCCCGAATTGTGCTCCAGATGAAATAGTGGGTTCCCTAATTGTGCTCCGAACTGGAGGAAAATTGTTATGATAGAATGGTATATAGCTGAATTTTCCTCATGGGAGCCTTATTGTAATATATATAGGAACTCCATATTGGAACACATCATTGTTCTAAGCCAATTGTAAGAACCAACACAGCTGTAACTTCAGCAAAGGAAGCATTGTTCTCAGCACGTTATAATTTTCTTTTGTGTAGGAAAAGCCCAAATAAAAAAACAAATTATTACAGAACACAGCAGCAGTGCAAACTACTTAAGAGAAACTATCTGAGTGCAAATGACATGCTAAAAAACCTTACTCGTTGGCCCAACTTTGGCTGGTGGCCCCAAAGAAGTGTTAAACAACGGTTTCAATTCAATTTCTAGAACACAAAAGACCAGACTATAAGCCAAACAAGCCCAAGCGATGTTCGCTTGGGCTTGTTTGGCTTATAAGCCGTACTTTTTCAGCCAACGAACAATATTTTTCTCTCACACCAAATCAGCCAACAATATTTTCAGCCACGGCTTATCAGCCAAATAAGACCAAACGAACAAGGCGATATATATTTTGCCACTTCAGGTTTTACCATACAACTAACACATTACACGATGTTACTGCTATTACAGTTTGACAGGTACAATAAACTATATGACTGATAACGATGCCGGCAATGTAAATCACCATCATCACACCCAAATGAAACTATACTCAACCTGTTCGCTTGGTCGTAAAGGATCGTGGATTATAAGCCAGAACAGTATTTTTCTCTCACACCAAACCAGCCAGCAGTAATAATCCACGATTGTTTCAGCCGAAACGAACAGGCTGAATGATTCTACATACGAAATTACACTAAAGTGGCCAAGACAAATGCTTCCCCTAACCAAAATTTCCCTGGAAAGAAAAGATCCTTTTTCCTTTTGCGAAGATACACCCTATCTGTAAGATCTGCATGTTATCACAGAATTGTACAATGGTTCAGTCTGCTGTCCCTGAAGACATGTTCGCCAAAAATGTTAGGTTAATAGAAGCCAAATCGGCAGTGCTTGTTCTTCAAGCATGTCCTTGAGAGAACCCTCTTCCCATACATATTACTTTGCAGTACAGCAGTGTGCGGTCTGATAGTTTCAACAAAAGCAGCATGCTGTTCACCCTGCAACATTAAAAACCATTAATTGATTGCACATGGAATTCTTTTGGCTGAGGATTAAGTAGTATCTTTACCTGGCACTGTTTAAGTGCTGTCTGAATCACAAAGTTCCCATACTGATCAAGAATGATATGCAGCAATTTAGGATCATGCATGAGTTCGTTGATGATCCTATCACAGATCAGCCGTGGTGCTAGCTTCAGGCAATGCTCCACAACATGGGAACCACACTTCTGCATGGATAGATTTCCAAAGTGACCTGCCAGCTCATCCACTATTCTGGTTGTTGCCCATTCAATATTGAGGGCCAGAATAAACTGAATAACATAGTTCCTGCAAGAGTATTATGCAAAGGCATAATAACAGCAATATCATTCATATTATATGAGGATCTCTGCTAAGATTGTATAGTGTATTATGAAAAGGCATAACAGTAGTATCATTCATATTAGATCAGGATATCTGCTAAGATGGATAGAGCAAAAGAGAACGAGCATACCCATACTGATCTTCTGAAAGTGCAAGGGCACTGGATGTAATCTTGCACAACAAGTTGTTTCTCTGTTCATCACTTGAATACTCAATACATTTCTGGAGGACACAACAGCCATGACGATCTCTTGCTAGTTGAAGATAGCGTGATGCAGCAGCCTCAATAAGGAACTGCAACAGTTACACAGTGCGTGTTAAAATGCAGACGATGAATTGTGACACACTCCTTTGGGCAGTCATATATACAAAGTGTTCAAGGAAACTAGTATTTTCTCTGCTAGAAATACAGTTGTGGGCTACATAGTCTGTAGTGTAGGATACAACATTATATAGCAAATAAATTGTTTCAAAAAAATATAGCAAAGAAATTGAATATAGAGATCGTTTTCTAGTATAAAAAGTATTTTTCTGCACAAAAGTTTAATACAACCAACATTTACATATACAAGTACTGCTGAAAACACACAAAAAAATAGTTAAATCACATGAATATAACAACTTACTGCCTTGTGCTCAGGTAACAATTTCTGCAGGCAATGGAGCGCAACATGACTCCCATAAGAATCAGTCATTAAACGCATTATTCCAGCATTTAAGGTGGACACCACCATTGACACTTGGTCAGAGGTATTCATGGTGTCTATAACCTTCTGCACTACACGAGTCCTGAAATTTTTTGCTTGAAGATCAGAGATAAAAAGCAACAAATATGGATGACAAAACAGTAAAGATTATTGTGTTCATACCCATGCATATTGCAAGAAGCTTTATGAAGCGTTATGGGTGCTTTTGTGATTTCACGAATGATGCATGTCCTTTGGTCATTGGTGCACACTTCAAGAATCTTCTGCACCAAATAGTGAGCAGTTGGATCCACCATAAGGTCACCAACATTGTCAATTATTTCAGAAAATATTTTATCAATGTCCTCTTGAGTGCCTTCTGTTAATACTTTTTGCAGAAAGCGACAGGCATCTTGATCCTTTGACAGGATGCATACGCTTCCCATCACTTCGTCAATAGATTTATATGTATCAGATTTGGAGGACAAGAACGGTGAGTTCAGCAAGTGAGCATAGGGAGATAAATCAAAATCTTTTACTGAATTACCAACGTCGGGCCTCATTAGCATCCTTTCTGGGTAACTTGCTGTGTTGAGTTTATCAGATATCTGATGGTGTGAGAAACCTAAGCCATATGGATGAGCGAGGTTATCAGCTTGCTGGTGATGCGGTCCATATGGATTGAAAACCTTTTCAGCCCGTTGAAAATGGCGAAAATCGCCACTGCCACATGAACTGCCAGTGTAAGATGTACTTGGGAAGCTGTCTGCAAATGTATTATTCAGACCGCCGCTATTTCTTCTTTTCTGAAAAGCAGCACCGTTTAGGTAAGAATACCCATTTTCCAGCCAATGAACATTTGGTGTTCCAATGTATGATGAGGATGGTCCTTTTACAGAGGGGAAACTGCAGACTGATCATTGCTCCTATGTCGAGAAGCACCAAACCCAGAAACTTGTTGCAATTGTGGACAGACATAATTCGGTTGCATAATAGAGTATGGTTGTGCACCCATATTTTGCTGCCACATGAAGTTTGAGCCAATATTCTGATCATGGGGTGTGTACATTTGAGATTGCCACATTTGTTGGAAGGGTGAAGCAGCAGCTGATGGGTGGCAAGGAACACCCAGATTGCTATCAAAGCTGTGCAGCCCAGAGCTTCTTGAAAATTTCCCCAGTTGTGGTGGAAATCTGTCAGATTGTTCTTGGTGTTCAACATCAGTGTGCTTCATAGCATGTTGCACACTGAACTGTAGACCCAGAGAATCATCTTGGAGTGTGGCAGGTGCATGCTGCTGGTTCAGAGTGCCATCCACACGTCCAGATGGATAGTGTCCATTTGTCAGCGGCGCATTGTGATGACTGGTAGGCACATCAGTTGTGCGGGAATTGAAACTCATGCCCTCAAAAGCAAACGCCAAGGACTGCTCATCATACAGATTACCACTGACACTGTGAGAAAAACCAAAATGCTGATTGCTTCCAACGCTCGACGTGTCATACAGCCCAAACTCAGAAACCAATGATCTCCCACCATTCGGATAAGCCCAGGCAGCCTGAGAAGCAATGCTCCCATTGTGGAGCCCCCTGTCAGCACTCCCCTGCCCAGCACCGGAGACACCGTTGCCCAAAGCTCTGAACCTGGAAGCATCCTGGCTACTCTGTGATTCCCCCATGATGATCAGCCGAACACTAGGCAGCAGCTGACGCCCAGTGCCAAATCAATCCACACAATGCAGGTTCCTTCACTGTCCCTACAACACAACCCATCCAATGTTGCAATCAGAGATCACGAAATTCCGATGAAACAGACATGAACAAAAGCGTTATCTTTTAGGATACTTGGAACAGACAATGCACCAGCAGAAAAGCGGGGAGGCAAAGGCTCCACACGGGAACAGAACAAATAGCTTTACACAAGACAGCAAGACCTCAACAAACTAAAAAGAAGCCGAATCGCTATGATCCGGGCATGCTCATGTAAGTTCAATCCGAACGGTCCAATAATCATGGTATCTAGACCGAATTTTGGCAATCTAGCAAAGGGGGGAAAGAAAACGCCCACAGTACACTCCAGGCAGTTCATACACACAGATAACCAAAAACTGTAACACTAGCAGAGCTCCGGGAGGAGAAATCAAGAGAATCCGCAATTCTGGTACCGGAGTCCACCAAAACGCCGCCGAATGCAGCGGAATCGAGCTCGGGGAACCTACCCGCCGCGGTATGTGTGACACCACAACGCGGTTAAGGTTCGCAAAACCCAAGAAAACCCCACCCCCGGCCCCGATCACTCGCAATCCGCCGTCAAGAAGACGAAACGAGGCACCCCAGATTGAAAAACCCGACCTTTCGACGAACCAGTCAAAGGATACCGACTGAAGCGACGAAATAACCGATCTAATCCGATCGACGATCCGGCAGTAAATAAAACGGAACGAAATTACTAGCAGCAGCGCAGAATTTTACTAGCAGCAGCAGACTAGTACTCTGGTATATACCTTAATGCGAGATGGCGCCGGCTGGTTCCGGAATCTCGACGGAGCTGGGTGTCGGGGGCCAAGTAAGCGGTCGCGGAGAATCGGATGGGGGTTGAAGAAATCGCGGAGGAGACGGAGATTTTAGGAGGAGGAGGGCAGGAGGCGGCGGCTTGGACGGGAAGGAGATGGAAAGAGGGGCCGTGCGTTTGAGGTGGTGGTGTGGTGCATTAGAGCTCTCTTTCCTTTGCTCTCTCTCCTTCCTTCTCCCTGTCCTCTCTCCTCCGAGAGCCGTGGACGTTTCTGTCTCTGTCTCTTTATAAAGTAGAGGGACGTATATTTTCGTAGGATGTGATAGTATGGTGTATTACTTTTTTTAATTTTTTTTGTGCTCTCTCTGACGTATATTTTCGTAGGATGTGATAGTATGGTGTATTACTTTTTTAATTTTTTTTTTGTGCTCTCTCTGCTCCTTCTCGCTCTTCGGAGAGCCTATAGATGTTTATGTCCCTGTCTCTTTATACCTCTGCGTGGTTTCACGGCCCAGATAAATGATAGATTATGGTGCAAGCGAGGGACGGTGATTACTAGTGAGGCGATCTAGGTGTTTTCATCATGTTAGTAGTAGTTTTTCGGGATTTCTTAGTAGTTAAGATTTACGAATCTAGGTTAGAGATTGCATGTTTAAATCGGTTGTGAATTGCTAAATTGGATACAGGATGTCTCCATACGTAGAAAGGTGGGTTTTTTCCCAAGTGGAACGATAGAAGTGGAAGTCAGAAACTTTTTCAGACGTGTACATTGTAGCCTAAAATTAAACGACATTATTTGTAACATGATATTTTTATTTCTTAGTTCATTTGGAAATGGAATTGTTGTATGAAATTTAAAATTAGTGTTTTCAACTTAGTTATCAGAAACCTTGCTTCCTATGCAGCCGTGGAGATGTCGCTTAGTATGGGAAATTGATTGGCTTGTTCCTCATGCATATCCCAAGGTTGGGTATTTGCATGGATATGAACAAAGAGAGTAGCTTGGTATAAACTGTGCAAGTATTCGTGTAGAAGTTTTGAGGAGCGTTCTTGCACTTTAGAATTTTCTTTTTATACACAAAAAAAATATAAATTATTAATTGATGGCGCACCTGCCTAGGTCCGACTCTCTTATATAGAGGAAAAAGGGAAACTTTCTTGTCATTATTATCTCCTCTTCCAATTTTTGTATTTCCTTTCATTGCTTGTGAATTGTACGTGTGGTCCTTGCAATCTCGTGTAGTCTCCATATATACTCTTCTTCTCTCACTTGTATTCATGTCGAAATCATGTGTTTTCTCATGCTCCTATCTTTCTTATTAGTTTTCAAAAAGGACTAATTATAATGGTTTCTCTTCAATTGTCTCCATTAGAAAATACAAAGATAAACCTTTAAGAAATGGTTACTCTATTAACACATAATTTTACAACCCAAATTTTATTGGTAATTGGATTTGAAATTCAATGGTACATACTCGTCATTATGATTTTGTAGTAATAGGTGAACATCGGTCAAAGCCATTATATGTGTATAATTCCGTTGCTTCTAGAGAGATATACCTCACTTATTATCAGCCTGTTCGTTTGCTCGTATACGATCGTGGATTATAATCTGGAATAGTATTTTTCTCTCACACCAAACTAGCCAGCAGTAAATAATTCACGATCGTTTACGACGAAATGAACAGGCTGTATGTTAGATGTATATCCTACTTTTGCTCTCTGACTCCTTTCTCTCTCTCCTTTACACATGGTCACTTCTGTCCCTGCCTCTTTATACACCTTGCCTCGTACTACAACGGAGCAGAGATCTTGAGATGTAAGAAATGACAACCATCGATTAGGGATGATATAGGATTTTTTTTGTCGTGATTTTCAGAATTTCTTGGCAGCTAAGATATGCTTCTTCTTTTTTAGTTTTGTTCGAGATTGTGTGTTTAAATCGCACTCGAATTACTAAATTGGAAATAGGATGCTTTTGTATGTAGAAATACGGGTTCTTTTTCCAAAGTGGAGATGGAAGACGGAAACTCTATGTGGCGTGTATGGTGTAGGCTAAAGTTAATTTTAGAGGTCTTAACTGTTGCGTGTAGATTAAATTTACTGTGTTTAAACTTACCCGATAACGGCCCCGTTCGGCTTACCTATAAAACGACACTGTTCAGCTTGTTTTTTTAGCTGGAACAGTATTTTTCTCTCACAAGATTTTGGCCAAAACAGTGTTTTCAGCCAGTTTCAGCCACAATTCAGCAAGCCAAACGAAGCCAATATCATATATAATACTGTGTTTCCTACGCAGCGACGGAGTTGTATAGACTAGTATGGAAAATTGATCGCCTAGTTCCTCGGTGTTAATGATTCCAAAGTAGACTACTGTATTGGCATGGATATCATCGGATAGTAGCTTGACATGCATACGCTCTGTTCGTTTATTTTTTCAGTTAACGAATAATATTTTTTTCTCATAATAAATCAGTCAACAGTACGACTTATCAGCTAAACGAACAGGACAATAGTATACAACTTTACAAGTACTCAGTGCAGAAAGGTCGAGGAGCGTTCTTACGCTTTGGTATCTTTCCTTTTATTAATACTGTAATTGTTAAATAAAATGACGCGCGCACCTGCTGCCTAGGCCCAGCTCTCTTGGAGAAAAAGGGTTCTTTTTGTCATTCTCCTTTTTCCAGTTTTTTTTTATTTCCTTCATTGCTTGCGAATTGTACTTGCAATCTCATGTACTTGCTTCGTTTCAAATTATTTATTGTCTCTCTAGGAACAACGTTTTGCTATGCATCTAAAAAAATCCCAAGTTCCTGTAATTTAGGACAAAAAGAAGGGAGATCAGTCAACAGTACGACTTATCAGCTAAACGAACAGGACAATAGTATACAACTTTACAAGTACTCAGTGCAGAAAGGTCGAGGAGCGTTCTTACGCTTTGGTATCTTTCCTTTTATTAATACTGTAATTGTTAAATAAAATGACGCGCGCACCTGCTGCCTAGGCCCAGCTCTCTTGGAGAAAAAGGGTTCTTTTTGTCATTCTCCTTTTTCCAGTTTTTTTTTATTTCCTTCATTGCTTGCGAATTGTACTTGCAATCTCATGTACTTGCTTCGTTTCAAATTATTTATTGTCTCTCTAGGAACAACGTTTTGCTATGCATCTAAAAAAATCCCAAGTTCCTGTAATTTAGGACAAAAAGAAGGAGATCACCAACAAGACGACTTATCGCCTAAACGAACAGGACAATAGTATACAACTTTACAAGTACTCAGTGCAGAAAGGTCGAGGAGCGTTCTTACGCTTTGGTATCTTTCCTTTATTAATACTGTAATTGTTAAATAAAATGACGCGCGCACCTGCTGCCTAGGCCCAGCTCTCTTGGAGAAAAAGGGTTCTTTTGTCATTCTCCTTTTCCAGTTTTTTTTATTTCCTTCATTGCTTGCGAATTGTACTTGCAATCTCATGTACTTGCTTCGTTTCAAATTATTTATTGTCTCTCTAGGAACAACGTTTTGCTATGCATCTAAAAAAATCCCAAGTTCCTGTAATTTAGGACAAAAAGAAGGGAGATTTTGCCACAGCAAAATTTTCCAACCTTGGGAGATTTTGCTACAGGACACTAATATTTTGTGAAATTGTTGTGGGACACTGTATTTTTTTTCTTTGCTCTAGACACACTGGGCGGTGTGCCACAGCAAAGAAATTAGTGTCCCACAGCAAAGAAAAAATATTCCAATGTCCCACAGCAAATTTCACATAACTCCCAAGTTCCTGTAATTTAGGACAAAAAGAAGGGAGATTTTGCCACAGCAAAATTTTCCAACCTTTGCACCTATCTATCACTTGTATTCATACCGAAATCGTGTGTTTTCTCTCTCTCTCTCTCTCTCGTTTCTCATTCTTTAGATTGGATTTGAAAAGGGACTAATAAGTGCATTGGTTTCTCTTGTATTCATGTCGAAATCGTGTTTCTCTCTCTCTCTCTCTCTCTCTAGTTTTTCATTCATTAGATTGGATTTGAAAAGGGACTAATAAGTGCATTAGTTTCTCTTCTGTGATCCACTTTGAAAATACAAGACAGTTTACCCCGTCAAAGCCAATATAAATAAATGAATACTTATTTCTTATTTAATTTACTAATATTGTATAAATAAAATATTAATA